GTTGACAGCGCGAGAATGACAGTTTCTCTCATGCGTTGACATTGCGAGAATGTCAGGGCTGTCACATGTATGTAAACAAAAGAAAAGGAAAAGATGAAAGAAAAAGTATAATAGGATAGATAAAATGAAAATGAAAAAGAGTCAATTCGTAACAAGTTGTTATCTATTAAGATGACTACCACTATCAAAGGGTGCTATCAAAGTCGATATTTAAACTGGGGAACTACCTATTGGATACCTGTTATGATCATGCACATTGGTCGTATACATCGCGCGTAGCGCTTTGCACCGACGTAGTCCTTCATACATGGTCAAGTCCATCATCAATGTGACGCACCGATGATATGGATCAGGTAATCTGCTTCCGTGATACTTATCCATCTATCCTCCTTATCCCGTCGCCCCCTCCTTCGGATGGGCTATACACCATACCACCTTTCTCTCCCCATTAGTCCACTGTCTTCCTATCCGCACTCATTATCTCTACTTCCGATTCATCGTAACTACTTTAGGATATTCTGTAGCGATACCGGAGATAGCGAACTTAGCATATAATACTTGCAGTCGTAGGTAGAAGCCTTAGTTTTAATATCAAATTGGTACGACTCCCCAATATCATTCTGCACTTGTACTCTAGCACTCTTATACCTCGTTCGACCTCGTCGACCTTCAGTCAACACTATCTTGATCTTGAACGAACTCCACACGGACCGCGCAGCGTAGCGAGGATACTGTCAATAATGGTATCAAAGGTCCACTTGATCCGCACGCTCCTAACAGTATATTAAAACTGTACTCTCTACGCTGTTACTGATCCCTTCGTTCAAATCTATATGGCCCCTCGAACTTGAAGCAATCGAAACACCAGGGCTGGAGCTACAGCCCCAGAGAACAAAGTCGTGGTCAGGGATCCACACAACAGGCCTACGGTAGGCAAGAGCCAAAGAAATGGGAAGGCACGTGAGTGGCGGGACCTCCCCCTATGGCGACACGACAGGATGTGACTGGGATGACCTTTGGAGGCACTGGACAACCCATGGACCTGGATATGGCAAAGGCAAAGGGCCTTTGTTTTAACTGTGGTGAGAGAGGCCACATGAGTAGGAACTGCCCAAAGAAGGGCAAAGCCACAGTTTGTAGCAGTACATGGTAATTGTGGCTTCTTGGCCCTGAGAGAATGGGTTAATTACCAAATTGATTTCGAGAAACAACAGACCACACTGGAGAAAATGGTTTCAATCTTTGGAACATTGAGCACTGCTCTGGCTTTTTTTGTTATGCCATTTCCATTGCACCAATCTGTGCTGTAACTGATGGTTTCTGATGTCTTGGCATTAGGGTCAATGTTGCACTCTTCATGTTTTTGTTTTTTCACTGTTGCTTGAGCCTGTACATGTTTTTGATTAGTACTGAGTGACCTTAGAGATAAAGTCCTACCTCTTTGTGAGGAATAGATCAGAATTATCAGGTGTGATGTGGAAGACACAACTGGGCATGTTATCCTCAATATCAATGTTAATATCATTCTCTGACTCCAATGCATCATTATAGTCTGAGTTGCTATTGATCTTTTGATACCCAATTGAACTCTGATTGCATTCTCTTCAAGTTGGGTGCTTTCAGACTTCCCATGTGGCTGAAGCTTTCTTTTTGGCTTTCAAACTGTTGAAAGTAATTGAAGGTACACATTACTAGTAAATGCTTAGGCCCCGTTCTGTAACTTTGATACGACATAGTGTGAGAATGAAATCCCCGCCAAAATCTGAGAGTAGCGAAAATTAAGATTCTTGTCAAATATTTCGTGTAACCAGTCGTAAATTGGGCGTTCCGTAAAATTTCACCAAGACAACTAGTGTGACAACAGCTTTGTTTCCCACTTCCTTATATCTTGATAAGATAGCAGGTGTGTGAGAATCGGTACAGCGCTACATTAGGTGCTTGTCCATCTTGTGTAGAGCAATATTGAATTTATTTCTCATCCCCCACCGACCCACCCTGGACTCGAAATATTTACCAGCGTCACTCAGACGTTCCGGCATTGGCCATCCAAATAGCGTGAGCTTCCCACCCACAGGGGGCCAAGCCCCAGCCAAAACACTCCAACTAATTTACACACTCATCTCGATATAAAACATAATATTATAATATACATGATGACTCAGCAAGTCTATCTTATTGATTAGCGCCCTTTGTGTGAACTTTGATGCCCTGTGACTGCTTGTGACACAATGCGCTGTCTCACGTTCATCTCACATGCATCTCTCATCATTCCGAAATTACGGATCTCTCATTTTAAAATCGTATCACACAGTGTCGTATCAAAGTTACAGAACGGGGCCTTATAGAACTAAGGTCCAGTGGTGAAGTGGTTATCACCCTTGAGACAAATTCAAGTGGTCCTAGGTTCAAATCCTAGCTGGGCCAATATCTAGGGGATCTTGTGCACCTCAGGTAATTTCTTGGTTGAGCACTTTGTTTGTTCCACTGACCGGAACATGTTGCTGCCCCATGGGAATTTCAACACAAACAGCCCATCTGCTGCACACAAGATGGTGAGGATATGAGGATGCTAGTCACGGAGGTACTGAAATTGCTGAACTAAGCCCAAAAAAGTGAAACACCATGGGACAACTTTTGGTCTCAATGTGAATTGCATTCTTTTAATGCCTTTCCTCCCAGAAGAAATTACAAAAATTCTACAAAAAACTCTAGGGGTTCTCCAAAGGTTGCTGAAGACGTGCCTAGGTGCGCTGTAATAAAGGAAAAAGAGTGCAAGTGTTCAGAAAAGCAAACGTGAGAAGAATGAGATTGCTGGTCCGGCAGACAATTTGACTCACCTTCAAGTACACGCCATGATCTTTCTTAACTCATCAAGCTACAGACATGTGAAAATCTTCCAGATACGATGGTGAAGGATAGAGAGCCCTACCAGGTGCATTTGTTAACTTGATGGATGGGGTTTCCTCCTGACCACCGCGTCTTAAGAGGTTGATCCTGGAATGAGGAAATTCCCTGCTTCATACTTCCGTAGCTGAAAATACCACATAACGTGTTCCAGTCCCAGCAGGTGGCTCTTGAACTGTTTTGCAGAGAGGAATAACTTTGATCGGTCTTTGAGTTCCAGACATACCTTGGTGACTAGGCAGCACAACGCCAAAAAACTGTCTCTTTGATTCAGGGATTCTTACATGTTCCATGACTCCCATCAGCTCCTGAGTCCTATGTTGAATTCGCGAAAAATTGCTGACTTTTTATGGTGTAAAACTGGCCCTATCCCATCGACATGAGACACCAACTGTATGGGTAGGATAAACGTGTTTTTTTGAACACCATCACTATGATAAGGATGGGATTAAGAACGAGCTCGCACTGCTAAGACATGTTCAACACTGAAGGTCATACTCGAATGGGAATGACGCCTCATTAGGCTTGCTCATCAGTAACCTCTCCGAGCCTCCAAAAGACAAAGATTTCGACTTCGACTGCGATTTCGCTTTCTTGGCTGGCCTGGCAGCCGTATCTTTTAAGTATGTACTAGGAGCTCGCTGGATAGTATATAATGGGTCGTCAGTTCAATGGGGCGCGAAGATCATATCACTAACGTCACTACACTCTATGAGCATTCAGGCCAACGAGATTTCCTTTCCGGTGCTTAACCTCCACTAAGAAAATCAGGAGACCTCAAAATACGCCAACAATCTTTCTCTTTGCCAGGTACTCTGAAAGCTTCCGATCTTCCGTCAGTTTCAGCAGTTGGATGTAAATTGCACCAAAAAAAGATCATTTGTAGCGCTGACAAGTCATTGAACTGTTCAAGTCGACGTCGAAACATCGCATGGCCTTGGGACACTCAGTGCAGGTTGCCATTTGCGTACCATACCGTAAACGAAACCGAAAGGTGGCTTGCTTCCAAAGTTTTCATGAGAAGAAGTACGAGACGGCTATACTTTATGCCAAACTCCCGAACGACGGCAGATCTCACAGGCTCAAACTACACCAAGTCTCTGGAGTGAGTCTGAACCAGATCTGACCAGGCTTCCACTAGACTCTGGCGATCTGGTACTGAGTACAGCCTGAACGTACTTCCGATGTTCTTATGATGAGGATATCATATCCTCATCATAGTATTTCCGAAGGCACTCTTAAATAAGTTTTTCTCCGCCCGATACGGAAAAGAGAGAACGCGGGATAACGAAAAAATGGACAGTCGCACCAAGGAATATGTTTAGGATCTGCCAAGGGTTTCCAGCAGGCAGGCAAAATTCTTGGTGGTTCGGACAGTCCTTGTGGAGTTCATATACAGCGCACTCTCGCAACCGGAGCATCGCTTGCTTGTTGTTTCGCCAAGAATTGAACACATTCACCATGCGCTTGTCGACAACTAATAGGATTACGCTGAGGTCGGACATCCGATTCTTGAACTGCGATTCCCTCGTTCCTCCGGTCATGATCCTCTTAAGTCAACGACAAATGTAGTTAGGATCAAATTTGGACCTTCAGGTATCTCCCAAATAAATCAGTCTCAAAAAAACCTTGAACGGAATAAGTCAATCCTTGCTCATGTCGAGGGATGAATATCGAAAAGATGGAAAGATGGAAAGGGAGCATAATTCCTGATGCGTTTCTCCCCGAGCTCATCGTGAATCCTGATTCAAGAATATATCCAACCCAATTAAAGGGCAATAGCGGAAGCACTGAATATTTTCGAGTGAGGACAGTCTATGAACTTCCATAGCGGTGTTTAGAAAAGGCCGGCGCCGCCAATGATGCATATGTTTGTACGATGCAAGCACTGGTCACTATCCTCAAGCTTAATGCACCTAGGAAATCTGAGGTCAAAGAATTTGTTTCAGCGGTTCATACAATGCTTTGGCTATCCAACGCCCTATTCACGTTCAATAGTTCTAATTCTGAGCAATCACTTTGAGGATTAACCTGGCTCACCCCACTTCTACTATAATCCTAAAGGATTGAACTCTGGAAAGGGCGCTGTTGGAGAAGCGGACAGAATCACTTCCGACGATGCTGTGAGTAAATTTTGACCGAGGAATCATAGAAAACCGTATATCTCACTGAGTCATTATCAGGCTGCGTTTCAGTTACACGAATAGAAGCGAACTACTTTTCTGACTAACAATGAATATGGCGGCAATTTTTCAATGTGCATGATTGCTTTGTACTAGTTGCCATGAGACAAGTTTCCCTGACGCATACTGTATGTGTATCAGACATGGAGGACAATTTGTAGAGGACCCAGTAAATATCTCTTCCAGGGGACCGGACAGGGAACGAGGTCGGAGGAAAGCTTTCATCGGCGTCGTGCCGGGGTATGGTTCGCGGGAGTCTAGAACTTGGCGGGGATACCCATCAGATCAGATTTGTCACCTATGAATTGTAAAAGATGAAGCCAAGAGATGATTGAATGCTTTTCCGGAGGTGGGCAAAAAACGCCGTGTGCTCATCCCAGCATAACCGCCAGGCCGTGCACCCGTAGTTCAGAGGTATTTTATCAGAATCTTGGTTCGAGTTTGGGCTAGCCCCGCGTATTGGACGTACAAGGGCAAAGCAATAAGTAGAGCTCTTAAGGGATGAAGTATGGATGAAGCTCCGAAATTTTGATTGCACAAAATTTTCGCAGAACTTGCGTTCACCACAAGACGTTTTTGTCCGTTAACATCTGATTGAAAATTCATTAAACAAAGAGCATATGGTACTATGAGGTTCCGGAACACTCCAATTGGCAAAGATGATCAGATAATATCGGACCCGCACAGTGCCAGAAAGCGAACGACTTTATCACCGTCTTCAAGACCAAAATCAATTCAGAATCGAACAAAGGGCATTGGGCACATTGCTGAGGCTTGAGGGTTTGCCCACTCCCGGGTGCTGGAAATTCATAAGTTGAGAGACAAATATTGAGCTCGCTTCGGACCGGACACACAATGTCAATCTAAGGAGGAAACGGCGTAAAATGCCCGTGTTGTGGGCGCTATTTGTTCCCAATTATGAAGGATCCAAATTGAGGAGACGACGTCGTGGAGCATTTTTTGACGTTGGTTTTCCTCGTTTTAGGCAGGGAACGTACGGAAAAGAGAAATTTACATAGCAGGCTAAAACTCGGTCACGCCTTTATCACGGTATGTTATCAAGCGGCGGCATTTTTCGGCAAGATCTGAATGTCGATCTAAAACTCCCTGAATGGAATGGACCCCGTGCTCTCTACATCGGCTGTGCTGCCCAAAACACGGATTCTCCTTTAATACGGGACAAGATGCAGGGTCCTATGGGCTATTTCTTGTTCTCAAGGCTTCCTTCTTCTACGACGCCTTTTTTCATGTTCAGCGTCGCCAAATAGCCTCTATCCCTCTAGTTTCCGGTCTTCGTTGCCTCCTTCCCCTTTCTTGCGTTCCCTCGGCCTTCTACCTGTTTGCAGCGGGCACGGCGTCTGTTCCCCTTTTACAGCTTTCTCCGCAGTCCGCAGAATATTCCGTCACAATGACCAATAAGCCTACTTTCACAGACAAAGGTACCCTTCAAAGAGGGAAAGCTTGCTTACGATGCAGGTGAGTCATATATACCTTCGACCCGGATGATATGTCCTGATTTGTTATTAGGAAACGGAAGATGGTAATTACCATGCGTACCTCCCCCAAGCTGCACTCATCTGTTCATATCTAGAGATGCGATGGCAATAGACCCGCGTGTCAGCAATGTACCCATGCTAAGAAACCCGAAGGTTGTGAGTACGACGACGGTAAAGGCAAGACGCGTACGCAAATCTTACGCGAGACCATACAACGACTGGAGCAACGAGTTCGTGAGCTTGAGGATCCGGAATACGTTTCCCCCGGCGTGATGCTTCACGATCCCCATGTACATCAGTCTGAGTCTTCATCATCTTCCTATGACTCTCCGGGGAGTACACCGGTTTCAGTTTCACATTCACCGTTTCCTTCAGGTTTGTTTCCCGCCTATATATCGTTCAAAGACGACTTATTCTCCGCCGTCAACAGAATCCACCAATTCGCCTTCTGAGCCGTGGACACACCTTCCTGTGAATTTTTTTTTTTTCAAAATTTGTTTCAATTCTCTTTTGACATTGATTTTCCAGGTTATTTCTCCCTCCCCTTCGCCCTTCACAACTGATATATTCTTCGAAGAACCACAATCTTACCCCCCCTTTGATCTTGGTCCGGTGTTGTAGGTTTTTGTCAGTTCGTTGATTTCACTGCCTTGAACCCGATTGCGTTAGGCTGGATATCTTTTCGCCTCACCGCCACCAATGTGGGCTTGGAATACATATGGGCTATCTCAGGGAAAGCTTGAAATTGCCACCGAGTGAACAGAGGCATCCCGCACTAATGAACTCGATCTATCTATGGGCGTGTTTTGTTTCTAGGCCCAAGCCCTTAAGCCAACATGAG